CCGATACAACCACTCCACACAATAACGCCACACGCCTGCGCGAGATCATCCATAGAGCACATAAAGCGGCCCGGACGACCCTAGGAAGTTCATCGCTCCATCAAAAGGAACAGCATGAGCGACATTCATCCGGCGTTAAACATCAAATCAGCAACCTTGTCATGTATTACATCCCTTCACACGCACGCGGAACCTCCGCTACGTTCCACTACCCCTGACAAGGACCCGTCGTTGTCTAAGACACCGCCTCACACACCACCCAGCCTATCCGTGACGCCATCTACCCTAACGCTCGCCCCTTCACCGCACACTTCGATAAACTTAAGCCCTATCAAGTTCGCCTACCAACCTGCTCCTCGACACTTTGCCCATCCTCCCTACTGACCAGGTCCCCCCGGTCGCCATTGAGGTAACCGTCCCCTCACCCTCCGTCGATCTCAGCACTGAGGACAGTGCTCCACCTTAGGGGCAGCTATTTTACAGCCGGAGATCTGGCAAGGGACCGGACTCTGAGTGCTTTAATGAACTGTCATGTAAGAGGCATTCTTCTTCCGTTTACCTTTCAGGAGCTACGCTTCCGAAGCCACGTGCCAACGAATAACCTCCGACTCCTCCTGCCAAATCGTTCCATTGTTATTTCCGTTCTTTCTTAGCCTCATCATTAGTTCTCAATTTTTGTATACTCGAATAAACTTATGTCTTTTTATCACCTGTGCTGCTTGTCCTATGTCCCGTTTGGCTGTTCATCCCGATCCCGTCCACTCTGAAATACAAGTCCTTTTAGAACGTATCTTCCAATCGGCTGGACCATCTGAGTTCAAGTTACCATCATCTCCTTCCTTCATAACCTGTGATCCGACATCCGCCCCTCGCTCGGTCACTACAATTGTTTGGTCACACGATGGGCCCAGCGGGCAATTCCAAGTCGGATTTGCGTCAGCTGTTCTTGCCTGTGCTCACGTCGTTTGCATGACGCGTCTGCGCGCCTTAAATCCTTTGTGACTACAGTCACATATGTATTAGCCACCCTGTTCTTTGCGATACTGCATATAATTCCTGATCAATCCCCGGGAGGACCTATACTAGGCTCTTCTTGCGTGCTTGCGAGGGGGGGGGGAGGCTGCATAAGATTTCTAAAATCTTGTTGGCCGAATTCGGCACATGGAGACTGCGTTCTCCCATATGCTGGCCATTTCTGGCGTTTTTGCTTATGTCATCCAGTCTTACTCAAACCCAAGTCTTGCTGTCCCTTAGCCTTGAATTCACGTTCATTCTAAAGAGACGGTCCTACCATCGCGACGAGTGCTCTTGCACACATGCCAGTTTTCCACGGATCTTCCTTCCCCATTAGCAGTTTTCCTATCTCTTCGCAGAGGAATTGCGTTTAGTACATCAAGTCCACTGACAGCGAAGAAGCCATGTCACCTAACTCTCACAGCTTCATATCGAAATTGCTCTGTCGCTTCCTAAAGGAACGTCTGCGCGAATGAATGTTCGTATCTGCATCGCCGCAAGGAAAAAAATGTTGGAAGACCTTCGGTCACCGTGCAATATATCCCTTAGGGGAGCTAGAAGTAGGTCTTAAACAACTACCAGTCAACTTGAAAATCCTAGGGACTTTATGTATCCGTTTACCTCGGGCGTGCAGCGACCTTTTGAGATGCCTCGCGAGTGTAGTCTGCAACTCAGATATTTTAGCGTGCCCGGTCGCACTTGACTTCGCAAAAAACCATAGCACTGCGTAACGTAGGTAATCAGTCGTTTACCCACTGTTGACTCCTGCTTTTGACTGCCGGAGGCCTTCCTTCACATGGACGCAAATTTCATCTTCAAAATGCGCATAAAAGATGCCCTGGGGAAGTCGTCTGTAATTTGACCGCCAAAACAGAAAAGGTAAAAATCTCATTGCGACGTCTTGTGAAAAACTGTTAGTACGCCAGCTGTTTTCGAAATTCATTGGCTAGGCGTTCATGCAACTCTGAAAAATCCGACATCGAGCACGAAGGCTGGCCTACCAAATTTCTTGGCAGCTGTACGGGGCCTCGGGTGAAGCTGTGGTCTGGAAAGTAGCCAATGTCTTTATTGCTCCTGTGCGCGTCTGCAACTGCATGTAGCTTTTCACTACCTGCAATTACCTATTTAAAGCACTCATATGACGGTACTTGACATGAAGAATCCGCTGGATGTCGATTAGTCAGCAGTGCTGTGAGGACTCGGGGAAACATGCAGAACTTAAAATTGACATGACGTCTTTCTAGCTTGATGCTAACGGTCACAAGTCGGCAGTGGATCGATGGAAACATTCGCGCTCATGTTAGTGGCACTTGAGTCCTGAATTTTAGGATAATTATCAGGCTACCAGTTATCGTTATAAAACTGACCACTTCCTCTTGTGTCCGCGAACCATTTAGCGCGGACACTGTTCGTTTGTTGCGTCTACGACCACTTTTCATGTAAGCGAAGTGGTCTTAAGTGGAATACTAGCTGGTGTTAGCCAAGGTCCAGTTGCAGGCGGTTAATAATTTCTACTAAAATGTGATTTTAACCTGCTGGAAAGCGGACATGATGGAAGAGAAAGGCGAGTGCTGACGGCCGAAATTACCGTCGATTTTAGCCTTTTTCACCTGTAAGTAATCAAAGAAATTATAAATACTAGTGCATTCTTAATTTACTATGCGAGCACATTCCCAAGAAACGCGATACCTAGATAAAAAAAAACTGCTTGTACGCTGTGCTATCACAGGTCTTCAATCCCCTTCAAAGATCCACCTGTTTGAGAAAATTCCGACTGCAGATTTAGGCTCATTCGCCTTAAGCGATCATTTTCCACAAAGTTGAAATATCTTGGTATGGGCAGATATACAGGCCTGGTTTGCGACCGCCGTATCCGTGCGTATTTACCATTGAACCCAGTTTGGTACCCGCTTACATTGTTAACTCGTTTATCGAAAGCCCTAGCAGGACCATCCCAACACGGCGCCAGGACGAAACGCAGCGGTCGAATGCGTGCGCTTGCACTGTAGTCGATTTCTTCCCCCAACGATCTCATTTTGTTTGCGCTAGACCTACATAATGTAATCACGTCTGATGCCTTTCTGTAACGACAGGATATTCCGACAAAGAATACGTAACTTGTGGACGGCTTCATAATCACGCCTAAAATCAGTCAAATTTCGATCTTTGTTTTCATATAAACTGGAAAGCCTTTAATCGCCCGATTATGTACCGTACCATCGCCCACATACTAACTCTTGGTTAGCAATTAATTTATTCATTTGATTTTTCTGTCCGACATGTACGCATCTGCCATTGCCTATTGACGCTACACATGTGGAGTAAAAGGCCCCAGTAGTGTTTGTGGATTCGCAGTCATTTCGGAGTCAACTGGTTCTGTTCTCTGAAAACAGTTCTTCCGGATTGGAACTCATCTCACCATCACTACCGTTCTTTTTAATTCCTGACCCTTTAGCAGTTGTATTGTAAATTCCGAATAAAGCTTCAAATAAGAGACTGCTATTCTCTTAAGTCCGTTAGTATGCACATGCTTTCTTTCCGCGTCTTCATGTTTTGCGTCTGCGAAAGTTAATTTTCTGCTCAGTTGCCACCACTACGACTATACCACAAGAAGGACTTGTGGATGCAATGAACAAGATTATGAGTACTATGATAGTATGCCCCTGTGGGACTGTTGGCCTCATATGTGGCTAAGTACTGCTTTTGACGCATGCCATTCGAAAGGAGAACTGGTATGGACATGAGGGGTACTACCCTGGACACATAAACCACACCGGCCATTTATTCTTCACCACCCTCTACTTTAAAAGTGCGAGCAATTTGGTAAACACTCGTAAGCTGCTCAGAACTTATTTTTGTCGATTAGCGGAAGCGTTGCTGACCACTTCGGGGGCATATCGAATCGCCTTAACGAAGTCGGCTGTCCTATGTGGACCATTTCTGAAGGAGTCTCGTGACAAGGTGGATTCTGAGGCTTTACTTTCACCCACTCTGTATATTCGCGTCGCGAAGCAACTACACTTCCCCTTTTCGCCCCCAAAGCTGAACTTGTCCATTACGGCCCGCATCATTTCTACAACAAATTCGAGGACACATCTGTTAGCAACCCTAAACGGGGCCGCGCGGTAGGTGCGTTGGACTAGCACGGGGATACTGGCAATCGTTATCTTGAATGCGCACCCATAACAAGTGATAACAATCGGGGTGCGGCGGTAGGCCCAGTTGCAGGTTCACGCCGCGCCAACTGTGATCCCTGCCGCCCCCTATTTTTGCTGTAATATAAAATCCTAGTGGGTCTCTGTTGTGGATCTAGGGCAGTCTTTGCGTTTAATGGCTGTCAATTTGAAGAAGTCGGCACTTTCAAGTAGCTCGGGATGGGGATGCTGCCCAGTGGATAGAGTAAAGACATCGTCTCCCGAATCGATAGTACTCACAGGATTTTCACAATCCTTAGAAAGTATCTACGGACCTGATGCGACACCGGTCATCCGTCCGGTCAGTACTTATGTTCGGCTATGAATGCTGGACTGTGCGCGGGGAAGATAGATGAGAACGGGAGATTAATAACCACCGCTGCCCGGAGGACCATCTCTTGAATGAAGTACACTAGCTCCGTGTACTTGTACTTACTTGTACTTGGTACCGCTGCGATCATGCCTAATCTACTCGGCCTCTATGATGTCCCGAACTGTACCTCTCCACACGTGACGGTCCGCGGCAGCAGATCTGGGCAAATGAGGCAGTTCGCACTCTGCGGCAGTGGGGATACCTCAGGCCATCTAAGAAAGACGACTGAGGTGGTTTGGGCGCATTCTTCGTTGTCCACCCCATGAGCCCAGCTGGAGGCGTCGACAAGGAGACTAACTCGAAACCTGGCTCGGCACAGTTCGTCAGGACATTAAAGTGGTTCCTGGACATTCGACATTTGGTCCCCGTCGCTGGGGAAAAAAATAGATCTGGCCTTTCATATTTGCTTCTGCTGATCGTCAGGCGTGGAGATCTAAATCAGTGACATTATGGAGGTCTTCTAGACCAGCATAAACACAGCTGTATAAAGTGCAAGTAAGTAAGTCAGTCTTTGTCGTTTTCGTCGAATCAATGCCGATGCTGCTCTCCTGTGCCTCCATAGTGTTGCGAGAAGCGACGTGGGTGGTCTCCTGCAACTTCCACCAATTGCTCCCACCACAATCTTCTTCTTTTTCTTCTTCTTCTTCTTCTTCTTCTTCTTCTTCTTCTTCTTCTTCCTCCTCCTCCTCCGTCATCAGCGCCTTTAGTCGTTCCAGCTGGATGTCACTCCGTTGTTGAAATCCAATCCGTATTCAGTTGTGTCTAACATTGCATTGTATAACTTACTTGGCGCTCTCTTACCATAAGACCGACGCCTGCGGCGTTGGACATGAAACATCCTAATCAAATCACATGGAGGTGGTCTATCTATCATTGGTCGTCACGCATCGTCTTTGCCATTTGCACATCGCGCCTATCCCGTCTCCTGACGGAAACGAAGAATGGCGGTCGTAAGTGACACGAACGTGGGCTCAGCCACCCTTGTCTTCTCACAGTTTGGAAGTCGTCGAAAGTCACTAATGAGGAGAAAATCGTCTTCTGTGCATACCTGCAACTGAGGGATACCGTTGCAGCTGCGGGCTTCGTTGCATCCTACCACTACCAAGACAGCGTGGTCTGTGTCCGCACGAATCCTGCAGTCACTAATACCGGTCAGTTTGTCTGCTCTTGGCACAATCGCAAGAATGGTGTGCGGGTATTCATATATCTTGTCCTTTATGTTGCCGTTGCTTGTCATTTGGGGAGGGGGTGCTGTCTCCCCTCTAGGTGGCTACGTCATAGTCACGAGACAATCCGTGATTCCCTATTAAATGTAAAACAGCCGTCTCACGATGTGATGCCTGATGACAAAGACACCCCCCCGTCTCGTCGCTCTAACTCTGGTCGTCCGCTGTAGATGGCGTAGCTGACACTCATTTTCTCCAGCTGTCCTTGTTCGGAGGAGCGGGTCTCGTTGAGAGTCGTAATCTTCGCCTTGTAACGGTCCAGTTAACGGCGATCTGAGTCCTCTTTCTTTCTGGTCGTTTTGCCACTAGGTTGTCTTTAAACGAATGAACACTCCTGGCTGCCGGAGTGAGCAGTCACATGCGGGACAACGTGTCGCCTTCTCCGTAGGACTTTTCTTTTTTTGGGGGGGGGGCAGGAACGGAGGGTAGGGGCTATTAAAGGGGATTACTGGATGTGTAGACGTACGCACCACGGAAATCCTCATCTGGTTAAACCCGCCAATCGTTGGAAACTTACGGGTTTGTGGCTTCAAGAAGCCACAGATGCGAGCTGAATGTCAGGCTGGGGGGCAGTAGAAGTATCCGCCAGGACAATAAGTGTGTTTACTGGGGACCGCCAGTGCATCGCCTGCTTTTACTTGCCATTGCACTAGTCGTGCTTGATCTATCCGGCCTAAATAGTGTCTCATGGGTACCTCCGCGCGTGACATCCTACGACAGCATATCTACCTTAGTTTATTGGTGTGTAACAGCCACGCAGCCGCATTGATGAGCCGGAAGTATCCATGTCGTCGCAATGAACATAAAGTTCACGTCGTCCCCTAGTCTGTCATATGTAACCAGGTACACGTACTCCCCACAGAGACTACAACTCTCACAATCTCAATGAGAAGTAACGTTATTAAATTGCACACGGAACGTTTGTGCTGATGTCACAGATGTTGGTGGAAACTAATTCTTTGTGCTCGCACTAGGTCCTGAATGTTCGCGCCACTTCCTGCAACTTCATGAATAGGACGCGTGATTGCATGGCATCACCAGACGACTTTCTACGGCATCGACAAACCATTGTAAACCCTCATAGCAAATACTGCGTTTAATCGATTAAGGGATTCTAACTAAGATTGGCCATCGTTTGACTTTTCACTAACAACTCTGCGGTGTGCCATCTATACCAATATGCACCGCCAACTCTGATATGCGTTCGAAATGCCCAGATAAGGTCATATGTCGTCTAAAGCCAAAGTGGGCATACTGGTCCCTCAACATCGGGGCTACACCGTACGTGGTCTTATTACCTGAAAACGTCCCTAGATCTGAAGGCAAATCTACCACAAACACTGAAAAAAGGCCGACGAGTCTTAAGCTAACAGTGCAGTGCACGTGTGTGGACAGCCCACATTCCTACTTTATTCTGCATCACCAGCTTTCCATCAACAGCCACCGTATTTAGTGTGCTTACACTGAGGGCACAGAAGTCTCGCACATTGGCTTCGGCAAAACTGCCTGCGGCATTTCGAAATCTCCGCTCTTTACTGCTCACCGCGCGCCTCGATATTAAGCCCGTCATTGAGGATGGCGAAGCTAACGACGACATTGAGACCGCATTTCCTGGTGCCTTTCATTGACTTTCTACGAGACCTCTTCGGTCCGCATGAAGGCGTTTAAGCAGTTCGTCTTAAACAAAAACCTGAAGAGTAGACGCGCAAGTAGGTGGCGGTCATCGCTACTCATACGTACCTCTGAATCGGACAGCCTAGACCGGAACTGACACCACGATCAAAACTGGCCTTTATGAGGCTGCGCCCATCTGACGTCCAATAGTGACGGCGGTGCGACGATGGGTGCAAAAATCGAAAACACTCGCTGTGAGGCTGCTGTGCGTGCACCTTGTGTCCACGTCGCGTGGATGCCGCCTTCGTTTACTCATGGAAAATGTGCCAGTACCGTCATTCAGCGCTTATCACTTAGACCAATAATAGCTCCTGGAGTCGATTCATTGCGCAAGTACCTTAGTCGACCAGTATGTGGACATCTTCCCAACACGAAAGTGTCCAGAACTTGTCGACACAATTCTTGAATTTGTTACTAGAGTACTACGTCGCCTAGTACTCCTCATATTTTCGCATACTGTTTCATGCGCTTCCCGACCCCTGCTTACCCAAGAATAGCGAACTCAGATGAGAAGTTATCGTCAGCGTGATACTCTGCCTACCTTACCCTAATGGCTATGGATCCTAATCTTAATATCCTGCAGTTGTCGAATTTTTAACGCACACGTGCACTCCTTATGTCCATTTTGGTCACGAGGTCTGTGTCGGATGCTTGTGGAAATGTGGACACATGCCGGGTATCGCAGTGTAAGGGTAAGTCAGTGTTAACCTGCCACTGACAAGCCGTAATTCCCGTACACAGTCAACAGTAAGGCTGCACAATAGTATTCGCGTCAGCCCAGTGCTACTTACTCTTGTACATATGTTCCTCAGTTAACTAACGACGACTGCCCAGAGAAACCCCCTCAAATTGGCCATACTAAAGGGTGAAAACAGAGGGTGATCAGGCGGGCATGCATACTATAACAAGTAAAAAAGTGCAAAATATGAAAGCCGGACACCTTTTCGGCAGTGAACGCTGACGTATGCTCAGTTGACACCGTCCCTTCGCATAGGAACGCGCCTCTGACTATTCAATAGATAGCTCTTCTTGTGGTTCTAGGAAGAAGTACAAGGAAATTGCCCGATTAACACCTCGATCATAATCTTCTTTATTATTCATGGGAAACCTTCATCTCGGAGTGATAAGATTGTATTGACTCTCCATGCTCTCCAAGTTGGTGTGATCACCTTCACCACCCAGCAAGGGCTACAATGACGTGTAGGTGTTGATAACCACAAACCTTATCAAGTATAATTGGGAAGAGGGTTGTGCCAAGGACACCCACCTTCTGTGTCTTTCTACGGAGCTAGCAATTGCCGTAACGTCGACAGTAGAGCACTTCTTTGCAAATTTATCCGAGTTCTACCCCATAATTAACTTGCGTACGTAGTCTGCGCGTGCGGTAAGTACGAGTAGATGGCTGACCAGCTGCTGCCGAAGTTTATTTTTTCTTAGTTGTCATTTCAAGCGGACAATGTCTACTAGCAAAAACACTTCCATAGCCCATACGGCACCTCTTCATTGTCCTGCATCGAGGGGTGTGTCAACTTACTAAGCAAGTAACTTCTGCAAGGGTCTTAGCGTTCCCACGTATGCATTCTGTTGGAACATTGACGAACTTACGCACAGCGTACGGGGTGCTTTTCTCCAAATATATATGCTGCACCAGATCATTGAACGGGTTACTCCTGTAGGCGTCCATATTTACTCACTGACTGCTACCCTCCCAACTTGCCAAAACCTCACCAGTCAACGTTTGTTTTATTTTGGCGACTGGACAGCAGTTCTTTTACTGTTTGGTATCAGCAGCTCGGGCGAAATCCACCGAGGTCTGTTATATCTACTTATGCGTGATACTACTTAAATCGTGCCACATCCAGTTGACCTTGGTTTTCATGGGGTGTCTTGATAATTTTCGGTACTGGCGGAACCCCGACAACCACAGGGATGGCAAGCGAATCCATTTAAAACGATGTTGGGCCGCCATGTTAGCTTTGTCATCGGGCTCAATGAGTCCGCCAGACCTCGGATCTCCAGAGCATGATGATAGTGCCGCTTCTGGTCGGCGATTGTTTAATCCATTGATCGAGAATGCTTCTTTCATAGCCAGCTCTTGCTGAAGGCTGTCACACTATCCGTCAGCTATGCGATCGACAGCTAGGCTAACAGATAGAAACAGCCTGGTCGGTCGTCGCGTGGGTGCTGTTTGTTAAAAACTGGCTCTCTGATTATTTTAGATTCGGACATACATGGATGCACTGTGCGGTTTTGTGTGCGATCTGTCAATTAAATGCTGCAGTACCCTGTTTTGCACGTCCTCAATAGCTATTTCGCTTGTGTTCCTTGTCGAGAGTTCCTCCCTCCGAATACTTCTGCCCGTTTGTCTTACGGAGTTGTACAATTACGGCAAGTGTCTTTCCCAACGCCGTAAAACATTTGATGTCCTGCGAGTTCCGAAAAGGTTGGGTCATTCTATGCTTTATTGGTTCGGTTTCTATGCATGATTTTTTTGATAGTTCATTTATACCGGTGCCTAGCCCCTTTTAAGCCCCACCTACCCGCCATTTGCTGTCCTAGATTTAGTGCCATCTTTTAATCTCTACGTTTTGGTGTGTTTTTCGATACGTATATTAAGCATCTTTAGCTCGGATTTCATCTTTTCACCCATCAAAGTTAAGTGTGCTGGACGCACTTGTTGCGGTATTTATAAGATGTGGGTGCGATGATTGCTTTTTCGTTTCCATCCGGGTCGCTAATTGTCGTAATTTCGTCACCGGTGTTGATTAATGGTGTGGTATTCACCGGGCGATGCGGCACGCTGATGTTGTCACTGAAACCAGCATTTACCCGCACCCTCTTCGCATGGCTAATTACTCTGCCAGGCAAAGTTTCAGTGCTGAATATGGAGGGAAACTTCATTGCGCCTGTTAATAGGCTGCAGGCCGGAGAAGTATGAATCAAGCAGCTCGCGACTCACGCGGTTGTTAACACTTGCTCGACCTATCCGAACTAAAAGTTTTATTCAGATCCCGTCGAGTAAGCCGCGACTCGAGAGTTTGTGTCATTCCTCCTGACTGTTATTGCATGTTGGACAACCCGCGTCCTCAGTAACGTCCCAATTCCTCCGACGTAGTTGCACTGCCCGCAACTGCACCAGAATCGGTGACCGTCTCCAGACGTTTCCTGTCGACGCTGTGGCCGTTTCGCCTTGTCATTTTGCACTTGACAGTTTCCCTGGTCTGTGCATAACTAACATCAAATGGCGTCTACGATCTTTAAGGAAGGAGTGACATGTAAAACACCTAGTGCGGCTGCAATAAGGCCTGATCTTTTTGGCCAAACTGATGCGCACATGTTGTCTCCATGCGTTGTACTAGGCAGCGGTAACCTAAATTAACTCGATCTACATGTAACGATGGACGTCAGAATCACACCCCGCCTAAGCTGACCCAGATTTCGAGCTCACTGCTACTACATTAATTTGGGGGGAGGTGCTGTTGGATTTATGTGAACAACACCCAGATCATGAGGTGGTCAACAAAGTGCGCCGAAGTCATTTTTTCCGTCTTTCATAGATAGCCTTTGATGTCCTCGTAATAGGTTGCTGGCCTTTAGACTTTCGTCTCAGAAGACGTGTATATGTTTTATTCGAAGGCCGTTTCTAAATCAGGTATAATCAAAACCACTAGTCGACTGCACTTTATCAAGCTGGTGTCTGCTAATCACAATAGGTTTCTCTCCCTAGTCAGGGCTGTGACCTGAAATTAATTTGGGCTCAGCGGTTTTGACTGAAGAACGAAATAAATTGACGACCTCGTACCCTCGCAACAGTCTTCTTTGTGGTCTCAGCGCGACACTGAGGGGAGCATTGCATCATATCTAAGCTATATCAGTCGGCATCCAGGCTGGGGTTCGACACCATCAGTATGAATTAGAATACTGTCGAGGCCCCAGTCAGGGGCATTACTAAGTGGGATTAGTGAGAGTATGAACTGTCTCCTAACGTCTGACCGACTACCCAACCTTTGCGGGAGGCTTTCGAAGACAAGAAAGCGAGTAAATGTCGATCTTAGCGTCGGCGCGGGCATCCAGTTCATCAGCTTGTATTAATAGTCACAAAACGGAGTACTTTATTGAAGTAATTGTTGCAGACAACTTTGGGATGACGCCAACCATAGCGGAATCTGAGGTTTTGTCGACTTGTAAATAATTTTTGGTACATTAACTGTTTGTTGATGCATTTCCAACCCACCGTAAAATGTGCATAATTAACTCGTGTCCTTGGTCACATAGACTGAAGTTGATTTAACATTGAGATAGCACTTGAATTTACGGAAACGGGAAGACGTGTTGCCCGCTAGCCTGGCTGCTGGCTAGAGGTGTCAGGTAGTGGGATGACCTTCAATGAAGGCTAGCTACGAAATAAGCAGACACACTTCTGACGGATAAGCTGTCACGGACCAGCAGCGACAGTGTTACCCCTTCTGAAAGAGCAGTTGCCGATGCCATACAAAGGCAACGCAACAACAAGGCACCCGAAGAGGACTGTATACCCGCTGAAATCTACAAGTCTTGTGTCGATAATCTGGCGTCCAGGCTCCATGAGGGAATTTTGACAAGCGTGGAGGAACGAGGTTGCTCTCGATGACTGGGGCTCAAGAATTATTGTATATATCCTCAAGAAGAGAGGTAAGACAGGAGGCAGGAACTACCGCGGCATAACTCTCGTCGACGTTGCTGCGAAGATCTTCGCTGTTGTCCTACTCAGGCGATTCCAGGCTGTTCGTGACTCTAGGACGCGGCCCGACCGAGCCGGATTTCGTTCTGGGCATGGATGTACGGACCAGGTATTCACACTGAGACGCATTTTCAAAGTCCGCCATAGCTACCACCCACCGACGGCCGTCTGCTTTGTTGACTTTGCCGCCGCGCTCTATCCCGTCCATCGTGAGTCCCTATGGCTGATAATGGCACTAGATGGTGTACCGCCAAAAATCATCGCCATGACCAAGGCCTATTATCACTCCACCACCGCGCGAGTCCTGATCCGCAACAATCTTTCCCAACCGTTCGGTATTCTGTCTGGCGTTCGACAGGGTTATATACCGTCGTCCATTCTGTCCAACTACGCTATTGACTGGATTCTCGGGAGGGCCCTACACGAAGGTGACGGTGTTGAATTTGCGGCCGGACACCGACTGGCTGATCTCGACTTGCCGATGATATTGCCTTACTTGCCTCAAGTTTTGGTGATATGCAGTCTCTGATGTCGTGGGTGAACGGGGTCGCTAAATCGGTCGGTTTATCCATGGAAGCTGGAAAGACTAGTGTTTTCAAGCTGCATCCTTGACCAGGTGAAGGCCCCTCTCGCGATTAATGGCTGTCAACTTGAAGAAGCAGACATTTTTAAATACCTCGGGGCGAGGCTGCTGCCGAATGGGCAGAGTAAGGACGACACTGTCTCCCGAATTGATGCTGCCCGCCGGGCCTTTTCAAGCCTTAGAAAGTGTCTGTGGACCCGACGCGGTATCTCCATCGCCCCTAAAATTCGCGTGTACCCTGCGTCTGTCCGATCTATCCTTCTTTATTGTTGTGAATGCTGGGCTGTGCGCGTGGAGGACGATCGAAACTGGAAGTATTTGACCACCACTGCTTGGGGACGATCCTTCGAGTGAAGTACACCGACTTCGTCTCAAATGGGACAGTCCGCACTCGCTGCGACAACCTCAAGGATATCTCAGGCCATCCATGAAAGATGACTCAGGTAGTTTGAGTGTGTTTTTTGTCGTTCACCTAAGGGATTCAGTGTTTCTGCACTCGATCCGTCATCGTTACCCCATTGGAGGCGTCGAGGAGAGGGTCAACTCAAAAGCTGGCTCGACACAGTTCGTTAAGACATGGAGATGGTTCTTAGACCTTCGGTATTCAGTCTCCATAACTGGCGAAAGGGAGTGGGTTGAACTGTCTAGATCTGCTGCCATGGGTCGTAACGCGTGGGGAGGTACAGTTCGGGACACCATCTAGGCCGGCTAGGTCAGGCATGGTCGCACCTGTACCAAGTACAATTAAGTAAGTGCATAAACGTCGTAGACTTACTCCACAAGCGTTCCCACTTGTTTTTCGCATCTCTCATACTGTACTAGGAATGACCGCTCCATGCCCGTTCGCCTGCATGTGGAGTCAGTGCCTTAACACCATGTATACGTGGCAGCGCTCAGCAGACGTCCTCCGAGCTTACTGGCTTGATTTCGTTCCACGCAACGCTCTTGAATGCGCAGGCATTCTGCTGTTTTTGTTACGGACAGAGTCGTTGAGGCGTAAAAGACTGGTATGGGCCATTCAGGACCTCTAACCACCATCTTAGCACTCATGTCCCTCTCGTGGCCGACAAGACATGATAACTTAGTCCTTCCACCGTGTATGGTGAGGTTTATAAGCTCCAGTATGGCGTCCTTGTTCTCACCAGCAGTACTCGGTTGGTTGAGTCCGTCTGGGAGGGAATGGCTTCCGGAATTTGAATTACAACAGCATCGTCGATCTGACGTTATGACCTGTTCATCGTTTGCAGGTTTACCTTGCGTCTGCATATCATCCGTGATAATAGCACTCAATCAGTCAATAATAGGAATTGAGACGCGTAAGTTTATCGGTATTTACAAGGATACGGGAAGGAATGCAAGGGAAGAGGGAGTCAGAGCACAGGAGATTGAGACGAAGGGGACCTCTGATGAGGAGGTGGATCCGCTGGTTGGCTAGGAGTGTTGGTGGGTCAGACTCCGACCATAGATACTTCCGCTACGTGGTGGAGGAAAAAGGAAAACCAAAGTGAAAGTTCATCAAAGTTCTAGCCTGTTTTTCTCCCTTGTGAACGTTTCACTAAGACGGCCATTTCTCGATGGTGCTACTTCGTTTTAAATCTCATTCCCAACAATGGGTTCTGCTTGCTTTTTATATCAAGCTGAACAGTTTACATGACCAGCATCACCGAACATGAGTTCTGGTGGACAAAATGAACAATTTCTAAATGTCAACGTCCGACTTCTCAATATTCTCTTGCAAACTTAAGTTTTTTGGTTTAGGAACACATGTCAAGTACGCTAGATCCCGCTGGGGCTGTTTTTTTAACGTGTCTGGTATAACATAGCCGGTCATCAACTTTTGCGATTCGCTTTCGCTTGTTTTATTCTAAGTGAAGAGGGTGTTATAACCCCATAATATGTTTGTTCTTATTCTCTCTGAAGTACTTATACTTCATGGTGGTGTTTGCTTCCTTTCAGCTGGTTTACTCATTTCTATGTCGTTGCTATAGTCGCTATCTCCTGTGCAACGCCGGTCGCTGTGCACTGCAAAGGTAACCTGTTAGTGACTTCATTGTATCTTCCCCATAGTTAGCAAAAAGCGCGCTTTGATTACATCACATTTCACAGCAAGTATCAGCGTAGCCTTGATTACTCAGTGAAGGTAACAGTTTTTGTTACCACAATGTTAACTCCTCACACGCACATTCGTTCTGCCAGCATACCCCCCCCCCTTGTTTTACAATTCCTGCTCGAATCTGCCCGGCCTTGACTGGCCGGTCATTTTTTGTCTCCCCTGTCCTTGACAGTAATACCTCCTGATTACGACCCGCCCGTCGCCATGCGGTCGCTTGTGAGAGCCCTAGGGCAAAACGGTGTGCCGATATTCCGTTTTGCGATCAGATCAGATCACTCTGAGCATGCGTTTTGGCGTCGATAAGCAGACGACACTTTGTTTATAATTTAAAAGACAGCCCGCTGAACAACAGCATCCCTGACATGTAGTTCACAAGGGTGGCAGAGAAGGTCAGGCATTTGCTCTTTCTTCACGTTCTCATTATGTTCAGACCTAATGATGAACACAGCACCGAGGCGTATCGAAAGGGGACTGACACAACCCAGATCCTCGGCTGTTCTAGCAGCCACTCTAGGGTTTACAAACGCAGCTGTGTTGGGGTGGTCTTCTGAGGGGTAGAAAGCACTACAGCGACTCGCGGAGACCAAAACAGAAGCTTTGACATCTGCGAGACCATGTAGCAAGGAACGACTACCCGTACAACTCTATCAGCTGCTGCCTCTGCACGCGTCCGCTATTGACAAAGGGGAGAGGACAATTAACACTTTGGTATCCTTCATCGCATATAACGAATGTATCAGAAGCGACTGGACGCACCGCTTATCGTCCGACAGCTACTCTGCGTAACAGTCTCATGCAGCTAATGGGTTACCTGGTGAGCAATTTGATGTAATTTGTCATATTTTACGCCACGACTGTCCTTGCCGTCATACAGGCCAGGCAGCACTACAACTCGGCTCACTAGTAAGCGAGTATAGATGAGCTGTTCGGAAAGGCGGTCTGTTATTCTAAGTCATTTCCAAAGCCCTAGAGGAGGGCCACTAATTCGACTTCGCGAACACGCGGATAGTGATGCACGCTGACATTAAGACGGCGAGGGCCATTGGAGGCCTGGGCCTCTGACACCAACAGACGCGTCGGCATACTCCCCCACCTCCTGCTATCACGCGTTACACCTATCCGGCCAGCTGGCGCAGCCCCATTTCCAGTCCAGGACGCGAAAACACATCTGCCGGGCAATGGGACTCTAGTCCCAGCCAAGGACACACGCAATCCTCCCCCGGCATTGTCAGACCACAAAACTGCCAATGTTATGTTCCCCCGTAGTCCCTAATGTTGGGCTTCGGAATCTCGGGCTATTACAACTGACCTTCCAACGATCGTATATTCTTCTTTGCATGAAAATCATAGGACTCGCATATTCGCCTCTTCGTTAGATCAGTTTGTCACGTCAGGTGTCAGTGGCACTAATCAAATTCATGTTTTAAGTTGCAAGACGATTTTCCGACAACGATAGGGTGTAAGAACCCCCAGCTAATTGAGCTAGCCTGTCAACCGTGTCATGCGTCGAATGGTGGTTGAGGGGGTTTTAGGGGTGGGACAACACAGGATGGAGAGCAAGAAGACACAGAAAATAGGTAAATTTCTGCCGAGTCTTATCTTACGCTCTCATTGGGCAAAGAAATTGAGCGCGACAGGTAAAAGATAAACAAAAAAGAAATTTTCAAAAGTAACGGACTTCGAATAAAGCGCTGCTGGCAATGTTACATTTAATCAGGAAGGGAAGGGAATTTTAAACAATGGGATCGGTGAATAATAAGTGATTTTTGAAGCCACACCAAATTTTAGGGTGTATTCATTGAGTTGTCATCTACTTGGGGGTCCTAACCCTATCTTTGCCGATTTTCCAGCAGTTTACTTCTTTTCAATTTATGCCCATAGCCTTGTTAAATTGCGCAAATTTTGGTAAGGCACTAGTGATCGTACTGTGTCAAACAACGAGTATGTGTTATTGTTCCTCCTGGTTTAATCGTACTTTATCACTGCTTCATTTACCGTTTGATATACAAGGCCACGGTTGCCACCTTGTTTTGCCTAGTGACCACATGTGTATCCCCGATCTTTCCACTTTTGGTCTAATTTTTTTCTTTTCGTCGTCCTTCCAGAAACCGCCTCGGGGACACTTATCTTGCTTCTTGTCTGCCTGCTGCATGTTACGCGAAGACTTTATGAGTGCCTCTTTGTGCACGTCTTTTCCGACAGCAAAATGTCTATCGTTCATTACTTGACTGGCCACTTCTTCTATTTGTCTCTGCCGGTGTGCATAATTTGCAGTAAACCTACTACAGGTCTGTTCCCCTCACATCTTTTTCCCTTCATGCACTGGACAAAAAATATCTCTATCCTTGTCTACCGGTTAAGCCTGGCTGAGCGATGGTTATCTTAGGGGCTGCCGTTTTGACGGAACATGAGCACCGTTGCTCTTCTTAATGTGATTGCCCTTAGGCTTGTTGTGTGCCTTGAAGATCTCAAAACCGGTAGCGCTTGTCGTTTGGGCCTAATAGGGACCGGGCCCATCCGCGACACACTAGGGGCTGAGGTTTCAACCAACTTCAGTCCTTCCTTCTGATCTCATCTCGAGTTGTATTAGTTTTGTCCTGTCACGGGGACATAGTGGGAGGAAAAACGGGAAGTGAGGCCGATGCCGCACGATGTTTTCACGTTTAATAAGTCTGAAGCCCGTTCGGACTTCCACGCCTTCAAAGTAGTGGTTTGTAGGCTTGCCTGCCGGCGAAATAACTCGGTTATGCATGTGCGGGAGAGAAGATAAGGCCACTATTTGATCATGGAGGGCATGAAAGAGGCTGTGAGATAGATACCGCGCACATGCCCACTTCCCATAGAACGGTAGTGATCCGAGTCGTGTTCGATAGTTATCGTGTTTTATTCCTCTGTGCGTCTGATTGTGTCTCCATCTTTTCATACCTTTCTTATTAAGATCATGGACTTGCCTCGTCAGTCGCATTTTTGGCTGTGATTATTCTTCTGGAAACGGGCCAGCATTTGGCAATGAAACAGTTGGCCTCCCTTCGGCCGATCGACTCGAAGGGTATGTAATTAACCTTCATGTGCTCTGAGTATTTCAAATATAGGAGAGATAACCTATTTGAGTCTTATCAGCCGAATTTCGCATTTCACGCGTTACTTGCCTAGTGATCAGGACCCTAGCTGCGTAAACAAATGCGTCAAATAAGGACAAAAGTTAATACTGTTGCCTACCTCGGAAATGCGGCGAGTAACGAACACTAGTATGTTTCTTGCCTAGCAGGTTATGTGGGAAACACAAAGTTCTTCAAAAACGGTCGGCGTGTATTAACTCGAGGCCAAACAGAAAATACGGTCGATTATCTGTTTGCCGGTGCGTCTTGGTTCTAGACGCATCAGTACGTCCTTTTTGACGTCTATCTCTACCGATTGGAATCTGTTCGTATGTAAGACTTCTTGCTTTAGGTTATCGCCTTTTCACCACACTTTTAACCAAGAAAATCATTGAACAACGTGGTTCTAAATTCATGGCATTGATTTCATAAACCGGCTTTGTTAGTTGCCTTGGCTTTAATCTCTACCCCGTTGCATCATGACGTGGAAGTAGCCAGACCGATTTTAAGTTCTCCCATTTCCAATGTTTCAGCAGACAGTGCCGTCTTTTTCACAGGTATGACAGCTCGGTACTTGCCACCGAGAGGTAGTCTCTTCAGTCATGTCACTTGTCCCCACTTTTCACTGGAACTCGCCTTCTACATCGCTGTGCATTTCTACTTGGGCCTCCGACTTGTGCCCTTCAGCGCGCTCACCGTGTTTGTTCTGGTTAATCAAGTTTGTTCTGCTCAACAAAATCATCGCTGGTATGTCGAACACTTCCCGGATTATGCCAAACACCGAACATCAGTTATCCCCTTTCTTTTGTAATTTCTTTTTTCCAAAATGACACAATTTTTCATTCATGCTTTGTTTGGATTTTGGGTAGATATCCTTGGTAGGCGCCCATCATTATCTAAGCCTATGTGATTTAACAGTGGCCAAAGTAATGAGTACAGTTCAAGCACCACAACCAGGACATGAGTTCATTTATCATGAGATAAAGGCAATAATCTTAAGGTGTCGAGGTCAGCGTATGCGTAGTTTACGCGCAGACTGTCTCTTAATTTAAAAAGGAAAAGCCACTCTTGAATAAAATCCCAAAGGCTTTATTCCAGTTGTTTATCAGGCGAATAATATCCTATTTACAACACCAAAGTTTGCGCTGGAATATCCTATTGTGTGTAGATTTCTAACCTGTGTTTTTTTCTATAAAATTTACATTGAAGAAGCATCTTAATTGACAACTGACCTCTGAGCCAACTAGTCGACAAGAATTTATTCGATGAATGACTCCCCGATGCGACCTTCGTCCAGAGCATATACCACAGGACGTTGTTGTTCGTTTGGGGCTCAATTCTACACTAAACGTCGCGGATAATATCCTCTTTATTAACGTTGCCCTGTAATGAAAAGCAGCTATGGGCGATTGTAGGTTGTGTAACCCCAGGTCAATGTAGTGCGGGAGTGGTGGTCATATGGGTTTTGCCGGCGGGACATCACCGCCGAGGGACAACGAAGTGAATGCAACAAAACAAAAGGTAGGTAGATTTCTGTTTTTATTCTTCTACGCCTTGATATAGTAACGGAATTGAGCACGACTGTTTAAAAATGAACAAAAACCTACTCTCAATAAATAAAACGTATTTGAATATACCGCCGCTTACAAATATGAGGCAGGTCAGGGACCGACAGAACTAACAACCAATATGGAAGCTAGGCAGTGTGATGCGCATGGATGTTAAGGAAGCTATGGAAATACACCCTAATGAACACGAAGAATGTCAAATAACGCGAGTAAGACCGCATGTTTGTGGGACACACGATTGCTTTCGATAAATACTCTTCAGGCCTATACATTTATATGGTTATTGAAATAATGTCGTATAAATGTACAGGCCTGAATAGAATTTATCGAAAGCTGACGTATGTTCGCCAAATTGCCTATGGATTTTTCAGTGGTAATTTTCGCAACTCGAAAGCGGAAAAAAAGCCGAAGCAATAAACTCGGTGATAGAATACCACCAAGCCAGCGGGCTGCTACCTAGTGTAACAAAATTCCAATGTGGACGCCAAGTGCGTCAGCATTGAACGCTTTACAATAATATTTAGCACTACAAGGATCGGACCACAGGAAAATACACCAGTACGATTGAGGTCTATTGAATCAAACAGGAACGGTAGCTCCACGAAAGAGAACCGGTGTTGGGCCGTGCGATATGGGTCCGCGTAGACGAGGTTCAATATCGTCCGCGGTTTGGCTTGACGTTAGCTTAAAGCAAGCGTAAAAAAACTCCTGGCACATGCTGCAGAACCATATCCGATGCAGCAGCTTCCAAAACCTGGAACCTGAAGGACTCCTTCCCAAAGGCATTTGTAAGTACATTTTCGTACATAAATTTAGCTAAATCTAACTGTCTCATTATTGGTTATGCGAGCGACTACGCATAAATAATCCTGCTGAAGTAAATAAGTCACGACGTATAGGCTGGGCAACAGAAACGGTTTGGAGATGTTGAGGAAGCCGAACGTTTGTGTGCTAACCAAGACAAAGCAAACCAACATGCAGCCGGCGATGCTTACAGCACATGTTGTATGGTGGTTACTGACATGACAAAAAAAGATTTAACCGCTCCTTTGGAAAAAATAAGTAAGTAAGCGCGTGGAATCGTCAACGAAATGCAATTCAAGTACAGTGGGAAAACTAGGAGGTCAAGGTAAGACATCGCATCGCGAAAAGGGGGTTGGGGGTCGTGCCAACTAAGGTATCTCTAAAAGGGGTCACTGAAACAACTCGGAGCATGCGGTTTTGTCAATGTGCTAGATAACACCCAAAGGGAGACTTTCATTAAAATGAGTTAATAAACCATCTAAGGCCTATAAAAAGCGCTGTAGTAGTTATACATGTTAGACCCAGCGGGGTTACACAACCCATCCTTACCCAACTTTGATTCGTCATCCGTAAAGGAGTAGGTTCGTGGCGTCAAAGCTCAGTACCTTGTATCAAACTACAAATGATTTCTATGTACTTAAATATCGCACGTTAATTTTCGCCCTTTCCAGATTTGTTTCCGGAACAATTCTCCAAAAAGTTGGTTTGCACCCTCCCGCTTATTTACCTGAGTATTATTATTTTTTAACGCAGGGTGTCGCTGCTGAGCTAAATTGCAACGACGTTGATAGTGGAAATTTTTTTCGTGTAGTGGCGTTGGTTATAGAAGTTAGCTCTAGGTGAATATTCCCTTTCGATCGGGTGTCGCTGTAAAGAGTTGGAGATCATATCTAAAAAAAAGGCAGGAATTTTTTAAAATGAGGGAACTGTATGTCACTAGCAAGCATTTTGGAGGGACGGAATCCTGATTAGTAGCGGTTGCATTTCTCATTACTGTTTATCACGCAAAACAGTAATCTGCTTAAGGGGTTGAAATTTGCTGTTTTCACCATTTCCCTATTCCAGAGGTGGACCGATTTCCTCAGTCGTGGGTCTTTGTCTTGTACTCTTGACTAATTATGGGATTATGAAAGAGATGTTTTGGCAGTGTCAAGCATTTGAGTTGTTTATAACATAAACATTCTATGTTTCAGAGAATGAATTCTAAATTGGATAAGCGTATTCATACTTCATTAAAAACCGCTCGTCCAGAGAGATAATGATCAATAATAATCCAGAGCATGCCAGTAGGTGTTGGTTTGGGTCTTCGGTCAGGCCTTTGCTTTTTACCCGCTTAGTTAACGACAGTCTTTCTGCATTCAATTACAGCAATATCGTGTGTGTTGACGAGCATGTCACGTTATGACAAGTTATTTGAGCCCTGAAACGTTCCATCGAGCTGTAATTTACGGCTGTGGCCTCCACTCTTTGCACAAGAGATAGTTGCTTGGCTTCAAACTAAAACAATATAAGTTTTTTGTCTGTCCCGAGCAAATGAAGAAACGGCCAATTTCACAAGAGAATATTTAACTAAGGCAAATCTTCTATTTGTAGAGTGTTTATCAAATGGCCCTGACGTATTTGTGCAAAACGGTCTACTGCCATCTAAACATATCGGAGCATCGAAAGCACGATTGGGGCATCGACAGAAATCTCGCTAAAATTTCGTGGACCAAGTCACCCCAGTAGCCACGGTCGTAGGCCGACGTCAATAAGTTTATTTTTGGTGGGTTCCCTGTTAATTTGTGAGTGGCGCTAACCTTCGTGTTCCGTTTTACATATTCATGAGAACATTGCTAATCGGTCACATTAGGTTTTTGTCCGATCTAACTCCGGTTTCACTTCCTCGTTCAAACTAAGTTGATCTGCAGACGCCTCTCGATATATTTGAGAGTCTGGCTTTGTCAATCCCTTCACCGCGACCGACTCCGTGTACAAAAACACCGATATATGCCAACGGACCTCAACGAAAAGGAGGTTCAAGTACGGTATGTTTATATTTCTGCTCGTTCGAAATAAGACAAGTTACCATCACTGAAGGCTGTAATTGGACCACTCACCAGAAATAATTACATGAAACCCTAGGCGGTGTAGCAGATCCTGTCTGCACATTTCAAGGGACCGGAGACCGAGGATTCAGCTATACAGTTCGCAGACCCTGCTAGGATTGTCAACATGTACAGAACAACGCTAGTTAGCATCGCCGCAAAAGTGGGGCGATAAGCGCAGTATTAAGCTTTGAGAGCCACCAACAATTCCCTCTCCATATCAACCGCAGTTAAAACCTCAACTCAGGGTCCACGAAAGTGCTAATGGTAACGATACTCAACATTCCGAACTCACTCAGACAAAGTTTCACAAGGGGTCATTAAGTACTCTATAGAACTGTCTCAGCAAATGCTAGGCCGGCGATGGCTTGCCTGTTTTTTAGGGGTCGGAAAAACTAGCAACAAATCCCCAGATCCCATTTTTATTTCCCGTGTATATATCGCCCGAATATAAATTGCTCCATTAACGCAATATGCAGTTTCATTTTCGTATTTAATATGGGCCCTCAGTGAAAGTTTTAGAGGATTTGCTATGAAACTAGGTCGTGTGTGCCTCCTAACTTCACGCTTTACGACAAAGCGGCTCTTATTCGCTGCTTATGAACCCGCTCAAAGTTTTCTTCAAAACCGTTCCAACGCGCGTTTCGAAATCGGTTCCGAATTTTGACTTCCGAGGAATTCATTTTATTGGGATCTCGGTTCACTACACGCTCCTTGAGACCGCCGCTAACAAGAATTGCATATGAGCCAACAGTGGTGTCATTCCCACAAATTTTCGACGGGGCGTCAACAGAAAGAACCGATCCACTCCTGACCCCTTCTCTGTCAACAACTCTAAGGGCCTCTCCAAGTCTACAAAGGACTGAGTCTTTCTGTCGTTTATTTCATAGAGTTGATCTGATTAAATAATCCTTCCTATACCTTTTTGAGCGTTATGTGTTTATTCACTAAATAATGGTGGTTGGACAAATGCCCTCGGGACGGCGTGCGAAATGTTCGTCCTGTTCGGATTCGATGATCGTCAACCATGTTTCTCGAACAATAAGGTTCCAACCGGACTATCGATGCGCGGCTGTTGGGTTCAAATTAGTAGGGGAATAAACACAAGCCGTGGCAAAATGGGCTGCAATTCGGGATATTTTGCTATCCAATCACCTCCCACCAAACGGGCAAAGGGTTTAGTGAGGTTGATGAATGTCAAATACTAAGGCGGATTCTGCACAGCATGTCTAAAACTCCCCCAGAAATTTTTGGAAATGCAGAACAAGATAGAGGACTTTAAATGGAAATGGAAGTCTTGCCATTTACTCGAAGAGAGGAAGTTGGCGAAGTCAGAAATTTAGGAAACAGAAAGAGCATGCGCAAGCATGTTTTTCTTAACTGTTTCATCTACTGAAAAAAGAGGATACATCTGCGGAACTAATTATAGACGGGAACCAGTCTCGTATGCGAAAAATGATGATCGGAAAGGACCGCAGAAAGCAAAGAAACGTCCCGTGGTACCCGAAAAGAAAAGTTGGACAGTGTCAGTATGAGGAAGCATAGGCTAAGCACAATGCAAGTTGATACCACAGTGCCGAAGGAAATATCATATGGCCAATAAGCCTCGATAAGCATGCAACCATACGGTAACTATGCCATGACAACTCTCTATGAATCAAACGAGAACGACAACAGAAATTGGTACAATGTAGCCTATGTGTATAAAAATAAAAGCCAGGACCCTCTAGAAGATCATAGTTAATTCATCGTCATGAGGGGTATCAATCATCTCCACCCTTTTTCAGTCGGCATTCACATATGAAACGAATCTTCCTCCTCTTTCCGGCGAGACACGACAGCATAATCGTGCGTCGTTTGCACTAAAAGATACTTTTACTTCTTGCCTTCATCGATATAAACGAACCTCCTCCGACTGAAGCCTGCCAAATTATCTGGTCCAAATATAACTTATTCACTTGTTCTCGGATAGTCGGTCGAACCTTCCGTAAGTGTCCGAACATATGACATTTTAAAAGTCTTTTGAAGAAGGTGACCCGCCGGAGGAATTAAAATCTGCCTCTATTTTTCCGGTTCACAAAGGATGGTACAGGCTATATTCCGAAAAATAACCGTCCAGTTAAGTTAGCTTGTATTTTGTGCAATGCAGTGGAAGGACTTAGTAAAGGATATTTAGTGACTTACCTGGAAGAGAGAAACGTGATATGTGCTGTTCAGCAGGGATTTCGTCAGGATCACTCATGTCTTACGAGTATTCATCACTCATAAGAAGAATGGACAAAATCTGTAGACCAGCATTTAAAGCATCCCGATATTTAGCTTTGGTGGTTCAATACGTTTCTCAAAACACTAGTACTGTATAAATGGGATTTCCTTATACGAAGTGGATACGCGCAAACCTAAAAATTTCGACAAGTTCAAACCTGCTGCCCTCCGAACAATGTCAAAGGGCCGGCAAAAGACAACCAACATCCTGCACTGCATTAGGCGTGCTTTCATATTCTATCCCGAACTGAAACGCTGAACATGCGCCTTACCCAAAAGCCAAATGGCTTTTATTCAAGAGCATAATGCGGTGCTTGTTAAACGGTTATTACTCACTTTAGATGTTATCGAGCGTTTCCCATTCCAAATGGGTTACATCGAAAAAAAGAGTTTAGAATGAAGAGGAGACTCGGCAAAACGTACATCAGATATCAACAATGAGAGTATTTCAACAGCTTTAAAATGCCGAAATATATGTCGAAATCTGCCGACGAAAGAGCAACCTGCCTTTTGATTAGAAATAGTCAAAATGACACCAAGAAATCCCAAAACTTTTTTTTATATAAATGAGGCAAAACACAAAAGGCAGTTCACTCCTTGTCTTAAGGATCACCAGGAAAAAAATTGTCTGATTACTCAGACAAGACGAACATCTTATCACATCTCTTTACGTCGGTAAATACCGAGGAGCCGGCTTTCGGTGAGAGATTAAATCTTCAATTACCATATCTCTCAATATAATTAGCACGGCGATCTTCACAACAGACACAGTTAGGAAAACTTTGTGGCAAATGCGATCCAGTATACTGCCTGGTCCGAACGGCATAACTTCAAAATTGCAAACGAACAGGCAGATCAGCTGACCTCTCGCTCTCCAAGATCTTCGAAATTCCGATGGAGGCTGGGGTTCTGCTTACTGACTGGAAACGGGCAAACATAATCCCCGTATATATGAGGGGCGAGGAAGCCTCTCCAAATAGCGTCAGACCAGTGAGTCGCACAAGCCTTTGTTGTAAACTGATGGAGAAGACGGCAAAAAAGGAGCGAAACAACTTGCATATTGTGCATCCACGTTGATTCAGAAGGGTTCGACGCGGCCTCGCTAACCTGCTCGCATCCTTGGAGAGATAGAATGAGTTTACCAGTAGACGCAGTATACTCTGACTCCAGAAAGGTCTTATACAGTGTTCAGCACGAACAACTTATGTGTAAATTGCATCAGAGAGACGTGAAATAACATCTACAGAAAAGGGTGTCCAGTTTTCTTGCAGGCAGATCTCAGCTTATTTTCACGGGTGACATGAAACGGGAATGAGCATCCGTTCACAGTGGCTTTATTATGCTTTTGATAAATGTACACGGTTGCCTCGACTGAATGATCTGCGAACGTGTGATGCTCGCCAATGACCTCACGTTGTGGAAATCAAAAGAGAAGCCAGAAGATGCGCTACAATCGCAAAGTTACTTGGACCGTCTGCATCGATGCTTTGGTGAGAGACCTCGGTTTGCGAAGGATGCCTGTTCTTAAACAATCGCCTCGCTGCGCCATGGGTATGCCAGGCACCGACAATAATAAGAATATGATCGGCTTACAAGTATATAGTGAACATCCAGCCTGTTGAGGGAGGTGTCACTCAGCAAGGTGACCCAATTTTGCCCCAGGAAACTGCTAATTATCCACCAGTAGCAGTATTTATGACAGACGGTTATGATAAATATCATAACAGAATGGCATTTAGTATCGCAGTGTCAAATGTTGTTGAACTACCGTAGGCTGGATAAGGACTCACGTTCAGCATGCAGCACAATTAAGAGATGGGTAACATTCAGGTAACCCACTTCAACAAAGACATTTAGTCAGAGCCTGCAAAGACGGGAACATGACTGATCATATATATTAAGATGGCAGTTCTGTTAGTGTAGTATTATACATTTTACTTTTAACTCAAATCAACAAGAGACTCAGGAGCCATCTTAAATCAAGTGGACGTGTTCAAAAACTTCGCCACACCTGTCAACTCCTGCCAATCTAAGGGTTTGGTAGATGGGAAAGCACTTGGGTTAGGAAATGATTTCCGGTTTATCGTCACCGAATTTGGCCCTGGGTGATTCATCCATAAAGGATTCATCATTCAAGCAATTAAAAGCTGACACGCAGAAGAGGTAGTGATGGCCAAGCAACAGTCGAGAAACAAAAACACAGTTTACTGGGGAGGGACATGTTGTTGTCTGGAGTTAAAGTCGAACTGGTGAACTAACGAAAGAAATAGCTATAAACGATAACGGAAGGGTGGAAAAATAGATAAATCTGGGACTTATAGGGTCCGTGATCGTCAGAATGAGGTCGGAAAGTTGTTAACCATCATGATCTATCTGCAAAAGAGTGATCACCGATTAAAAGATGGGGGTCTTAGCTCTCAAGGCATGTTTGATTGTTATTTAACGACCGACAATATAGGAGGTTCAGTGTCTGCTGCCTCGTCTGTACTTCTGTAGAGTGCCAGGAATGAACCGTCGGGGTCCGAATCGTCCTTTCCTTTTAGGATATCATTTGTCTCGGATTTTAAGGCATCCATCATCAAATATAACACGCTAATAACAAGATAAGCTAAACGATTTAGAAAATATTTGTTGTAAGAACTTGATGGAACGTAAAGACGGTGAAGAAAGAAGAGTCGATCTGTTCAAAAAAGTGTTCTCCTCACACTTGTTCGGGGGGGGGTGGAGTTGGAAGCTGCCACTGTGGAACAGGGGCCAGTTTCTTCATGCACATTAACTGAGAACAAAAGAAAGGAGGCGAAAATCAGTCTCGCGTCAGACATCTTGTAATGTCGGGCGGAATTTTGGTCTGACGAATGTCTAAGCGGAAAATTAAAGATCGGTCGAGGTCAACGACAAAAAACGGATATCAGACAAAAGAGTAAAGTGAGATATAACAAGAAGGAGACGAATTAGTCATCACTCGTTTATTGCTAAATGCTTTTTTAACAGCCCCGCGAAAAGTCGGGGACCGGTTCAAACATGGGATTCGTCCGGTTCCGCATTAGCGTAATCCGCCAAGGCGTTCAATGAGGGCATCCCTGAAAAGAGAGAAAAGGGGCGCATACTGAGCAATGGAAAACATAATGCGCTACAGACCAATAAACAAAATCGAGTTGTACTTCTCCAAGTCAGTCCGCTACGGTTACACACTATATCAACCAATGGTTTCATAGCGTGCGGAATCCATCCGCAAAAAATGTCAGTCACCCAGCCGCATAAAAAATATCCCAGATGACTGCTGGCCCTTTTCCGGCTGTACGGTAGGTCAGTGAGCCCACTAGTCAAAAAACTTAACCAGTAAGAATGCTCAAAATTTCGAACAAGATTTCGAAAGTATTCTTCCACCATGGCCTCTTTTGCGCTGGACACCCAATCCCCGTAATTACGGGGGTTGTATTTATCATTATAGCCTTCTGGTAAGTTGTGGTTTTATCGGTTTATTTTAAAAAACACAACAGTTTCCCTCTTTTTAAGTTTCGAATCCCCCACGATGCCCCGTTCGACGCAGTCGCTCTATCTGAATCCAATTACAAGCTTCTTAGATCCACCCGAAACCCTCTTCAGGTGACGTTTCCCCTAGCTTTATGCCTTAAACCTTCTATTTTCAACTTCTTTTACTAATGTGGGTTGACGTCTTAGTATATTCCTACCAGACGAAGTCACCTTCCGTACTCAATGTAGCTACAATCCTAGCTACAATCACCTAGGTGATTGTTTGTCACTCTTGTTTTATTTAAATCGTAATTGTGGTCGAGAGATAAGCACTCAGTATTTGCCTAAATAGAAAAGAGGTCATATACGAGAGTCACTCTTCTAACCTAACCTACAGCTCCATTTTCGAGGCCATTTCATTGAACCGAGTCGATCGCAACTTATTCAGATAGCAAGTACTTAATGTCTCCGGGTAATTTGTTTACAAAACATTTGGGGACCTTTATAAAATATTTTGGAAGGTCGCCTGGTAAATACGGTCCCCTCTTTTTATTCTGAACAGCTGTCGTTCCTCCCTTTCTCGTAGACTAACAACACGAAGATCAAAGTGAGCCATGTAGTTCAAATAATCTATCGCTCCACAATCAGTCCGTGGGGACCAGACATAAACTACGACGATGGAGCACGAAGCAACCTCAACGGCAGTTTTCTCATACACCAGTTGGTATCTCAGAGGAGCGGGGCAACTCAAACAACCTGTGGCCAAGGGCTGGGTAACTGTGGTGAACAGAATTCTCAGCCCGACAACTTGGGCTTTGAGTCGCTATGCCTCAGGGTAAGGCAATAGATCTATTGATTTCCTTTGCTAAAAGTTGTTGTTACAAGCTGGGCCTCCATTTTTTACGTAACGAGAAGCAGACCATGAAGGTCGATCCAACGAAACCATTTTCCTAGTTTAAGAACGTAAATTCAACGATGGGTCGTGTTTTAATGTTCAAACTGCGTCAAGCTCTAACTATTACAGTCAACCCTCCATACTATCAAGTGTTCTCATGAAATGTGGGCAACGATATTCAGAAAGAACCAGCCTGTCTGAGAAAACATTCCATATTAATACGTCAAGGTTTCCACTACCGGTTAGTCGGCAATCCTCTCATTCTTATCCATCGTAATTCGCATCCAGTCAACGAGGTATGATTATTGTTCCCCGCAATCCAGTAGGACTTCGCGAGTATCGTCCCATGATTCAGGGTCTTACAAATAATGCAGGCACTATTTAAAATTTCCCCTTTAGCATATTTCCGCGATCTCCATGAATGTAAACGCTTTAAAAATACGACTCATTACGACGTCTGCAGGAATCAGACCTCCAAAAATCGGACTGATCTAGAGTATGCTAGTTGGCGGTCTTGGGTAATTAACGGAAGCTTATGTTACTGAAGCACCATTTCCGACGACATGGAACACCTGCACACGGCTTTAACATTGCCAGTATACCGGAAGTCCGGTAGCCTGAGTGAGGCAAACGGACAATCAAACTACCAGGATCTGGCTTATTTCATTAAGCCCACTGCAGTTGCGTGCAAAAACTCTAGCAAAGACGATGCCACAAGCGTCTTGTGTCTTGGGTCTATGGACCTGTCCCACCTCGCGCTGACAAGTTTCCGCTAAAAGGTGCACTGGCCGACATTGTTGTTCATGGCTATGCTTACACGATTACTGCGGGTGGTGTGGAAAAAAAACGACTTTCATGAATGTAATAGCGAATTCTTTTCTGTTCCTTTAAGCGAAGTAAACACTTTGGCATTGGCTTGAAAACTATACGAATAAAGCTGACTAAATTACCCGCCACGCCCTCCAAAGCTAGCCATCGGTAGTGAGCGTAGTAATAGCGACTGACCTGCTGAGTTTACTGAGGCCAATAGGGTGACTGTGCTTAACGCCAAGTCTCACTTGACCTTACTAACCATCATTTATCGCAGAGAAATGATGAAACTCAGCTTCTTTGCTTGAACGAGGACTGAATCCTATCCAGAAATATCACCACCGAGGCATCACCTACGCGCCCAGGCTACTGCCGACACAGACCTGAAGACTGGAAATCAATCAGAACTATTAAGTTACCAGATGATGCACAGTGTGCCGGGATAGTGGGAGACCTAGATGTCAGAGCACTGCGTCGTCAGAAGAAGTGCCTATTGAGAGCCGACTGGAATTGGTACTGTTAAATTATGTTATCGGAATTGAACTGAGTCACATCTCCTGGTGACGCAAAAAGGCCTGTCAATTTCTTTGGCATTCTCTGATGGGAAATTCAACGATGACTGAAATCACTGAAACAAGGAGATCTTTCCACGGCGATCGGCGTGTCCCGCAAGGGTGTTTTTGGGAGTTGTTCGAGTCTTCAACCCTGGATGTGCCCGATGCGACATATACCTCAACGGTTTCTTCAAACCCACTATGATCGTGTTTGTTGCTGAAGTTCGAACAGTAACCTAGCCTCTTCAAGATAAGGGCCCGCGGGCGAAGATGAGCAGCCAGCTGAAGAGTTATTCTAATACTACTGCTGAGCGATTTGGTAAGATATGTCTGTAGTTATGGCATACTGGCTCGGTCTCACAAGACTTGGCCAGTGTCTTTCTGTACCTGTAGCTTCCTGACCAGCAATTACTGACTCACAAGACTAGACCAGTGCCTTCTCCCCCTTTTTTTAAAAATGTGACGACGGATCATCGCAATTACAGAGACTTCGGTTTCATTCTCATCGTCACGTAGTTATTAATCAGTATCTTTTAAACCATCTTAACCCTGTCTTTTGACACACGGACAGATGCAACAGTGATAGTTTTCACCCTGTCAGCTTAATATATAGCTTGCGACGAAGCGTAGAACGGAAACTTTCTGTTTCCAAGAGATACGATGGTCTGTATCCCTGCGCGGTTCAAATCGGTCAGCTGGAATGGTCCCCAAACGATCATATCAAGTAACGATATGCCCTCGAAATTCATGGACGTAATCAAGTCATACTACTGAGTGACGCGGGCAAGCTTTTGCCCTACGCTGGCAAGGGGGTTACTTTGCTGCCAACGTTAGCTGCCCATATAGTTGTGGCATCTCGTCATTTTTTATGCGACCAATATGCTTCTGCTCACAGCACGCAGAGCAGGGCGTCCTTGTATCCCACAACTAAGTCCTGATTTTGAACGCTGAAAAGCCGGCGTTACTCACGAATTTACTCCCGAGACGCTATATCCCCCTGTGATCGCATGAGGTTCAGATTGCTTCCTCTGTGTTTAAATTGACAAATGTCGGGGTGGATCAGTCGCTGTTAACCACTAATACGCTGCATGTATTGCAGACTGCAGGTTCCTCTGATTTGTGCGATCTTCAAGAGAAGACGAGGGTTCGCATCTTTGACAGTGTATTTAAAGTCTTTGCAACCGTTAGAGCGAATGTCTGATGGCTAGGCTTTCCTGTGCGGAGGTTTAGATTTGCCGCGGTCTCGGCTTACGAATAGCATACCGACATCTGAGCTTCACCGCCAATCGAGGACAATTGCTGAATTTCCAACACAAACTATCTCCATGGCTGGCTGGGTCCGGCACTGCCTACCCGGGGTTTTATTAACTTTGACGCCGTTTTTCAAAATATATGCTCCAATTGGCCTCCGCGGGGGCACTTTTGACAGAATGCTGGCTCCGACTGTCTTCGGTGTTAAAAAATAGAACTTCAGGCGGACGGCAGCTGTTGACGGCTCGGCGAACTTTTGCCATACATGAGCCCACTGGTAATCAGTGTAGTGGATTTTGAAATCGGCCCGGTCAGCATTTTTGCTCGCTGTTCAGAAGCAGTTAAGTATCATACGCACTGTTTTACTTGAAATCCTCAAAATAGTTACGCTAAGCCCCCCTGCCAGCCTGTTTTTTTGTTTTTTTCTTCTGTTTTTGAACTGAGGTTAGTTTTCTAAGCCCCAGGGCTGAATATTTGTATTTTTCCAGCTAATACAAAGCTTGGTAAAATATCAACAGGC